TGTGATATCGTTATTGATTGCGTGAGCGAGAATTGATCGAGAAGTTAATTAATCACGAGTGACTATTGCTTGATCGCATATTCCCGAACCTATGAGTGCTTTCTTTCCATCTCGGGTCTAGGAGTACCTTGTTCCTTTTCTCTTTATTTTCCTTTTTCTTGCAATTTGAGGTGTTGCTTGCTAGTTAATGTTGAATCTTGCTTTCGTTTAGCTTAAAGTTGCCATCTTTAACTTAATCGAACCCCAAATTGCGAGTAGAGTGTTTAGGATCCTATTATCTTTTCTTGTGTGAGTCGATCGTTGCTTAAGTCCGTGTCCGAATAGCCTTCCTTTGAGAAAGACTCGAGTCCAGGTAACTCAATTACCAACTACCCAAAAATACTACAAACAATGATGTTGTTTTTATATTATTTTTGTTCTAGAGTTAGGTTTCGTATTAGACATAAATAACTATACACATATATGCATTAACTCAACACCCATATTGTACACGGGTATTAGTACTAGTTTCTTCTAATTTCATGATTCCGAGTTAGCCTATAATCTATATACTCCTTGAGAAACCTACATAAGTAATATATAAAATATGCTAAATATATATGAAGTTGTAGTAACTCATTCGATTTCTTTTCAGTTCCCCAAAAATATAATAATTTATTTATCATAACTTTTTGAAATAATATTTAATTCGGATACTAAAAAAGAAAAGAAATCGTTTGAAATGGACTATAATTGACTTGAAATTTTGTGAGTACGAATACTAATATATTCCTAACGTTTTGAAAAAATAATACCGATATATTTAAATTTTAGAAATTGCATCAAAGTCCCTGGATTTTTTCTTAACTACATATTTGACTCTTCTACTAAATTGAAATATAGTGAAATCAATAAATTGTAATAAGTTCCCCGTAAATTACAAGGCAAGCGCGGATAAATATGTTTTATATTGATGGAACCGAAATTTCATATCTTTTAATGTGACCCAAGCGTGAATTTTTTTTTCTTTAATTTGGAAAAGATAAAATCTTTTATTAAAATATATGACAGTAGCTGAGAGTCTGAACATGTCAAATTTGTCTAGTATCGCTCCTTATATATTAATTCAAAACGTGTTGAGTCTAGGTGGCAGATTCTCACGCTTCGGATTTTGACATGGAGAAAATCTATGCTTCGTGATGTTTTTTTTTTTTATATTATATTTGCTCTGGTGTTAGGTTTGGTATTAGACATAAATAACTATACACATATATTCATTAACTCAACATTCGTATTGTACATGGGTATTAGTACTAGTTTCTTCTAATTTCATGATTTCAAGTTAGCCTATAATCTATATACTCCTTGAGAAACCTACAAAAGTAATACATAAAATATGCTAAATACATATGAAGTTTTAGTAACTCATTCGATTTCTTTTCAGTTCCCCAAAAATATAATAATTTATTTATCATAACTTTTTGTAATAATATATAATTCTGATACTAAAAATGAAAAGAAATCGTTTGAAATGGACTACGATTGACTTGAAATTTTGTGAGTACGAATACTAATATATTCCTAACGTTTTGAAAAAAAATACTAATATACTTAAATTATAGTAATTGCATCAAAGTCCTTGGATTTTTTCTTAACTGCATATTTGACTCTTCTACTAAATTGAAATATAGTGAAATCAATAAATTGTAATAAGTTCCCCGTAAGTTATCAAATTAACCAAAACAAACACCCAATTAATCTTTCCAAAAATATCCAAAAATCAATCTCCTTCATCACCACAATTCGTTTTTCATCCGCTCCAAATCGTGAATGTCGGTTTTTCGGTCGACCAGGTCAACGTGTAGGATCGCCAAGCGTCCGACGAGTATGGTGACAACTTCGATTTACTCGGCGGATCTCTAGAGCTTAATTTCGGCTATTGCTCGGTAGAATGTATTTGATACTCTCGCGGCTATCCCTGAGTTCGGCGGTTCGGAGGCTGATTACACGACAAGCGCGGCTAAATATGTTTTTTATTGATGGAACCAAAATTTCATATCTTTTCATACCCAAGCGTAAATTTTTATTTTTATTTTTAATTTGGGAAAGATAAAATCTTTTATTAAAATATATGACAGTAGCTGAGAGTCTGAACATGTCAAATTTGTCTAGTATCCCTCCTTATATATTAATTCAAAATGTGTTGAGCCTAGATGGCAGATTCTCACACTTCGGATGTTGACATGGCGAAAATCTATGCTTCGTGATGTTGTTTTTATACTATTTTTGCTCTAGAGTTAGGTTTGGTATTAGACATAAATAACTATACACATATATTCATTAACTCAACACCCGTATTGTACATGGGTATTAGTACTAGTTTCTTCTAATTTCATGATTTCAAGTTAGCCTATAATCTATATACTCCTTGAGAAACCTACAAACGTAATACATAAAATACTAAATACATATGAAGTTATAGTAACTCCTTCGATTTCTTTTCAGTTCCCCAAAAATATAATAATTTATTTATCATAACTTTTTTAAAATAATATTTAATTCGGATACTAGAAAAGAAAAGAAATCGTTTAAAATGGACTACAATTGACTTGAAATTTGTGAGTACCAATACTAATATATTCCTAACGTTTTGAAAAAAATAATACTAATATATTTAAATTTTAGAAATTGCATCAAAATCCCTGGATTTTTTCTCAACTACATATTTGACTCTTCTACTAAATTGAAATATAGTGAATCAATAAATTGTAATAAGTTCCCCGTAAATTATCAAATTACCCAAAAGAAACCCCCAATTAATCTTTCCAAAAATATGCAAAAATCATTCTTCTACATCACCACAATTCATTTTTCATCAGCTCCAAATAGTGAATGTCGATTTTTGGTCGACCAAGTCAACGTGTAGGATCGCCAAGCGTCCGACGTGTACGGTGACAACTTCGATTTACTCGGCGGATCTCTGGAGCTTAATTTCGGCTATTGCTCGGCGGAATGTATTTGATACTCTCGCGGCTATCCCGATGGAGTTCGGCGGTTCGGAGGCTGATTACACGGCAAGCGCGGATAAATATATTTTTAATTGATGGAACCGAAATTTCATATCTTTTAATGTGACCCAAGCGTGATTTTTTTTTTTTAATTTGGAAAAGATAAACTCTTTTATTAAAATATATGACAGTAGCTGAGAGTCTGAACATGTCAAATTTGTCTAGTATCCCTCCTTATATATTAATTCAAAACGTGTTGAGTCTAGGTGGCAGATTCTCGCGCTTCGGATGTTGACATGGCGAAAATCTATGCTTCGTGATGTTTTTTTATATTATTTTTGCTTTAGAGTTAGATTTGGTATTAGACATAAATAACTATACACATATATTCATTAACTTAATACCCGTATTGTACATGGGTATTAGTACTAGTTTCTTCTAATTTCATGATTTCAAGTTAGCCTATAATCTATATACTCCTTGAGAAACCTATAAAAGTAATACATAAAATATGCTAAATACATATGAAGTTGTAGTAACTCATTCGATTTCTTTTCAGTTCCCCAAATATATAATAATTGATTTATCATAACTTTTTGTAATAATATATAATTCCGATACTAAAAATAAAAAAAAAAAAATCATTTGAAATGGACTACGATTGACTTGAAATTTTGTGAGTACGAATACTAATATATTCCTAACGTTTTGAAAAAAATACTAATATATTTAAATTATAGTAATTGCATCAAAGTCCTTGGATTTTTTCTTAACTACATATTTGACTCTTCTACTAAATTGAAATATTGTGAAATCAATAAATTGTAATAAGTTCCCCGTAAATTATCAAATTACCCAAAACAAACCCCCAATTAATGTTTCCAAATATATACAAAAATCATTCTCCTTCACCACCACAATTCGTTTTTCATCAGCTCCAAATCGTGAATGTCGGTTTTTCGGTCGACCAGGTCAACGTGTAGGATCACCAAGCGTCCGACGAGTACCGTGACAACTTCGATTTATCGGCGGATCTCTGGAGCTTAATTTCGGCTGTTGCTTGGCGGAATGTATTTGATACTCTCGCGGCTATCCCTGAGTTCGACGGTTCGGAGGCTGGTTACACGGCAAGCGCGGCTAAATAAATTTTTTATTGATGGAACCAAGATTTCATATCTTTTCATGTGCCCCAAGCGTGAAAATGTTTTTTTTTTTTATTTTGGGAAAGATAAATCTTTTATTAAAATATATGACAGTAGCTGAGAGTTTGAACATGTCAAATTTGTCTAGTATCCCTCCTTATATATTAATTCAAAATGTGTTGAGCCTAGGTGGCAGATTCTCACGCTTCGGATGTTGACATGGCGAAAATCTATGCTTCGTGATGTTGTTTTTATATTATTTTTACTCTAGAGTTAGGTTTGGTATTAGACATAAATAACTATACACATATATTCATTAACTCAACACCCTTATTGTACATGGGTATTAGTACTAGTTTCTTCTAATTTCATGATTTCAAGTTAGCCTATAATCTATATACTCCTTGAGAAACTATAAAAGTAATACATAAAATATGGTAAATACATATGAATTTGTAGTAACTCATTCGATTTTTTTTCAGTTCCCCAAAAATATAATAATCTATTGATCATAACTTTTTGTAATAATATATAATTCAGATACTAAAAAAGAAAAGAAATCGTTTGAAATGGACTATGATTGACTTGAAATTTTGGGAGCACGAATACTAATATATTCCTAACGTTTTGAAAAAAAAAAATACTAATACATTTAAATTTTAGAAATTACATCAAAGTCCCTGGATTTTTTCTTAACTACATATTTGATTCTTCTACTAAATTGAAATATTGTGAAATCAATAAATTGTAATAAGTTCCCCGTAAATTATCAAATTACCCAAAACAAACCCCCAACTAATCTTTCCAAAAATATGCAAAAATCATTCTTCTTCATCACCACAATTCATTTTTCATCAGCTCCAAATCGTGAATGTCGGTTTTTCGGTCGACCAGGTCAACGTGTAGGATCACCAAGCGTCCGACGAGTACGGTGACAACTTCGATTCACTCGGCGGATCTCTGGAGTTTAATTTCGGCTATTGCTCAGCGGAATGTATTTGATACTCTCGCGGCTATCCCGATGGAGTTCGGCGTTTCGGAGGCTGATTACACGGCAAACGCGGCTAAATATGTTTTATATTGATGGAACCAAAGTTTCATATTTTTTTATGTGACCCAAGTGTGAATTTTTTTTTTTAATTTGGGAAAGATAAAATCTTTTATTAAAATATATGACAGTAGCTTAGAGTTTGAACATGTCAAATTTGTCTAGTATCCCTCCTTATCTATTAATTCAAAATGTGTTGAGTCTAGGTGGCAGATTCTCACGCTTCGGATGTTGACATGGCGAAAATCTATACTTCGTGATGTTGTTTTTATATTATTTTTGCTCTAGAGTTAGGTTTGGAATTAGACATAAATAACTATACACATATATTCATTAACTAAACACCCATATTGTACATGGGTATTAGTACTAGTTTCTCCTAATTTCATGATTTCAAGTTAGCCTATAATCTATATACTCCTTGAGAAACCTACAAAAGTAATACATAAAATATGTTAAATACATATGAAGTTGTAATAACTCATTTGATTTCTTTTTAGTTCCAAAAAAATATAATAATTTATTTATCATAACTTTTTGTAATAATATATAATTCAGATACTAAAAAAGGAAAGAAATCGTTTGAAATAGACTACGATTGACTTGAAATTTTGTGAGTACGAATACTAATATAATCCTAACGTTTTGAAAAAAAATACTAATATATTTAAATTTTAAAAATTGCAGCAAAGTCCCTGGATTTTTTCTTAACTACTTATTTGACTCTTCTACTAAATTGAAATAGTGAAATCAATAAATTGTAATAAGTTCTCCGTAAATTATTAAATTACCCAAAACAAACTCCCAATTAATCTTTCCAAAAATATGCGAAAATCATTCTCCTTCATCACGACAATTCGTTTTTCATCAGCTCCAAATCGTGAATGTCGGTTTTTCGGTCGACCAGGTCAACATGTAGGATCGCCAAGCGTCCGACGAGTACGGTGACAACTTCAATTTACTCGGCGGATCTCTAGAGCTTAATTTCGGCTATTGCTCGGCGGAATGTATTTGATACTCTCGCGGCTATCCCGATGGAGTTCGGCGGTTTGGAGGCTGATTACACGACAAGCGCGGCTAAATATGTTTTTATCGATGGAACCAAAATTTCATATCTTTTTATCTGGCCCAAGCGTGAAAATTAAAGTTTTTTTTTATTTGGGAAAGATAAAATCTTTTATTAAAATATATGACAGTAGCTGAGAGTCTAAGACATGTCAAATTTGTCTAGTATTGTGCAACAAGGACGAAAAAAAAAAAGAATAAAAAAAAGTTTATCATCTCTTTTGGACTTTTTGACCCATTAAGAACACACCTATAAATACTTGTAAAACTATGCTATCAACTTCTCATCTCTTTCTTCATTCTCTTCCAAATTATTTAAAATAATAGAAAGAAAAGGGAAGCCAACTATGGAAAATATAAGACTCATTATTTTGTCTATGATTCTTTTTGCATGCCTCACATCAAATAGTAACGCCCTGAAAAGCCAAAGTGAAGCTCTTTTCCATTTATACAAACACAAGTTCAAAACTAATACACACATCGACAGAAGGCCTTTCAGCCCTATTGCCGATTTCCCGAAAGAACGAATTCTATCACAGGAAGGGTCAAAAAGGAACGACTTAATAGAACATTTGCCCAGGCAACCACAAGTTCCCTTCCAGCAGTATGGTGGATATGTCACCGTAGACGTTGCTGCCGGACGATCGCTCTTTTACTACTTTGTTGAGGCTGATCCGAAAATATCTTGCAAATTGCCGCTTGTTCTTTGGCTCAATGGAGGTGTTTCTGCCTTTCTTTCTTTCTTTCTACATTTTGATAATTTGTTTAACTTATTATCAATTTGTTGCAGGACCTGGTTGTTCTTCTCTTGGTTATGGAGCAATGGAGGAATTGGGTCCATTTCGGGTTTCCAGTGACGGAAAAACACTATATGAAAATGAATATTCATGGAATCGTGGTACGCTACCATGTTAAACATTTTCCCACAATCGATACATAATTCACATTCATATTTTTCTTTTTTTTTTTCCTCTTATATTTCTTTATTTTTGTTTATATTTTGATCACCTGCCAGCTGCAAATGTGTTGTTTTTGGAGACACCAGCTGGGGTTGGGTTCTCTTACTCAAAAACCAAGAGTGATGTAGAGAAAGGTGGTGACAAAGAAACGGCTAATGATAATTATGTGTTTTTGTTGAACTGGTTGGAGAGGTTTCCAGAATACAAGAACAGGGACTTTTATTTAGCTGGAGAAAGTTATGCTGGGCATTATGTGCCCCAGTTGGCACAGACCATTCTCTACCACAACAAGGCCAAAAACACTGTTATCAATATGAAAGGGATAATTGTAAGAAGTCTATTACTTTACACTTGTTACAAAAGTAAATTTAACTACGAAACAATGAGTATACTATAGATAATATTTTTACACTTGTGGGTTATTTAAACCCTAGTTGTATTTTGTTGGTGAGTTTAGTAAATTTGACGTAGGCAATATTGTCGAACTCCTTTTATCAATTTTTGTGGTTCTTTTTATTTCTCGTCTTTTATTTATTTGTGTTTTGTATTATTTTTTGTTTTGGAGTAATGCTTGTCATATTATAACTGACTAATACTTACGTTAATTGTATCCAGATTGGGAATGCTGCGATCAACGATGAGACTAACAACATAGGGATGTTTGAATATTGGCAAACTCATGCTTTGATTTCTAATGAAACATTGAATCAAATTTTGAAGTATTGTGATTTTTCTCCCAACGCTACAACATCGGATAAATGCAATAAAATTTTGGATCGAGTTAATCATATATTTAATGAAATTGATGTTTATAATATCTATGCACCATTGTGACTCAATCCAAACCTCACCACAACGCCCGGGGAGGCTTCAGTAAGTATGGGATTAATATATATTAATATACTATACATATATATATATATAAATCATAATAAACTCTTTTTTTTTTTTTTTTT